TGGATACTTTATGTAATAGACACATAAATTCCTCTCATTATTAGCTTCCATGCTCAGCCCCTTTTCATTGACTTTTATTGACATTAAAGTATATACTACACACTTCATGTCATTAAATATGGAGAACAGTATGTTTGAAACTTGCACAAATTCAAGGTACAGTCTAATTAACTGAATCTTTATGATGTAGTGTGATCATTACAACCTAAATAATTCCCTCTTGCTGTTTTACGGTCATCTTTACCTTTAACTCTCCAACCAACATAAGCCACTACCATGGTTTCCAGCCTATTAACATGAATATCATGTTCCTAGAATATCACATTAATGAATTTTTTTTAAATGCAGCTACTAAGAGCTAATTTTTCCATACCTTATGATGAAATACATTTGTGTCTTTACATGTACCGTTATTTTATTTTTCTTTTCAAATTGTTGTACACTATTCTGGTATTCCACATTAGAGTGTACTACAATTTTTTAACTCACAGGTTAATGGACAACTGGTTTGTGTCCAGATTTCAGCTATTTCAAATAATGATGTTATCACCATCTTTGTGGACAGTACAACTTATCTTAGCTGAACACCTTGGAAGATAACAGAGAACCACTTATGTTTAACTGTTTAAGAAGCTGTCAACCTGTTTTCTAAAGAGATGGAACCATTTTATATTCCCACTTAAGATTTTTCCAGCTTATGTGTCAACCAAAACTTATGTGCTTTGTGCTAAACACTAACAATTCAGTGATTATTAATACAACAAACAGTCCCTGGAAATATGAAACACTTCCCAATTTTCTTGGGATGTGGGGACTCCTCTGATCTCTGTGTTGTTCTGATTTCATTATATGTAATAAAAAAACATCAGCTATGATTTAAATATAATGAAATTAAAGCTATAATTAAATTATGTATTTCTTCAAGGTCTGTGAGGGGTGTGTGTGTGTGTGTGTGTGTGTGTGTGTGTATGTTTCTCTTGGGTAAAGATACAAGGCACATAATCTTCTCTGCACAAGTAGCATAATACAGTTAACTGATGTCCTTACATTAGATAGCTCCACACCACTTATCTCCTGACAGGTAGGAACACATTCTTATTACCTGTAGCTGTAGAGAACACAGTTCAGTGTAGTAGTCACATACATCTGCTGGCAGAATCTTCTTTGTACAGCACTTTTTCAATGGGAAATGACATTCTTAAAAGTGCCTACATCTACCAAAATGTATGAATTATAATATCTTTTAGAATAAATAACCATAGCATGTAAGAACCTCAGAATATTATAATGTCCTTTATCAGAACACCATGCACCAAGGAATTACAGTATATTATACCTCCAGTTTTATTTGCTGTGCACATAAGTCTGACCAAACTCAGTCAACCATTTAACTTTTATGTAATTATTTATTTACTGATATTTTATTCCAGAATTTTAAAAAAATAATTATAACCAGTGATAACACAGGCATACATATGTCCAGATATATGTAACATCTAAAATTAAGCTCTAGGAATAGCTGGATTAAGGTTTTCTGTTGGAATTGTGTTGTTATCATTTGAGTCCACATATCCTCTCAAAGCCTCCTGTGTTCATTGCTTTTTTAAAAAAGTGGCTAAATCTAAAACGTGTGATTGATTTGTAGTGCACTGCTGGGATTAAGGGTGGCAGATTGCTGAATCAGTTCAGAGATTGGATTGACATTGCTGTAATCACAGTAGAATGGATGAACAATAAGGAACAGAAAGAGACTGTCTTCTCCTCTTGCTTGTTGATTTTGATACATTCTGCAAGCCATCAACTGTTCTCTTCTGCCATGTCCAGCCTGACTTGGAGCCAATGCATATAAGCTGAGAGGTCTACAACCTGTGAGATAAACAAACTTTTCCCCCTTTAACATGTGTTGCATGTTCTGTCTCAGCAATCAGAGAAAAGTAACCAAAACAGTATTTGGTACCAACAGTGCGCTGTTGCTGTGACTATCCTGGCCATGTGGTAAAGGAGCTTTGGGGAATGATTTGTAGGAAGCATTAAGATATGTACAGAGATGCAAGCTGAAAGGGGGTTGCACTATAGCACTATATGAGAGATTGTAGGCAGAGCTCAGAAGACCAGAAAGCTAGAAAAGATCAGGCTCAGGTGGTTTCCGCTGGGAAGAAGGACTGCTTTGTTGCTGGATCCAGAGGATGTATGGTGTACCTTGCTAGAAAGTTTGTCGGAATTTGCATGGATCCAGACAGTTTGCTTGAGTTGTAGATTAAGGGCAGAAGACAAATCTGGAAAAAGACATTTCAAGGCATTCTGATGCTGAAGCAGTGGTATGGCTCCTTTTGCTGGCTTTCAGCCAGATTTATGTTGAGGATCAAGAGCAATAAGTGCAATAGAATGATTTACGACATTGTGAGTTTGGCCACAAAAGTGCTCCAGTAAAGCTGTGGACTGAAAAGGTAGAGCAGAAGAGATCCTGCTTGCTGAGAAGCACCTGAAGAACAGAAATGATGGCCTGCAGGCAGCACAACAAGCAGAAGAATTTAGCCTTTGCAGCCTCAGAATTGCAAAAGTCAAAAAGGACTTTCATTTGAGAAGGAAGCCCAGAACACCATCTTCTGGAATGTTGACAGCCTAGAGCATCTGCTCCTGGGAATTGGCAAACAGTGCTCAGTGATCCAGGTTCTTAAACCCTGCAGTGAAGAGCAAAGTAATCCTGGCCACTACTGTACCTCATGTGAGTTTTAGATGCACGCAGAATGAAAGAGTTATCGGGCTAGGATGGCTTTCACCAAGATTTTAGAAGGCCTGGGAGGCCAGTCAGTGTGCCCCTGGGAGGGAAGTATGTAAAGCTGTGAGTGGGAAGCAAAAGGTGCAGCAGAAGAAGCCAGGAACGTTGGTTGGTTGGTTGAGGAAAAGTGCCAGGAGAGAGCAGAGCACAGCCAAGAGAGAAGCCGTGGGAGGGACAGCCACTGGAAGTCACACAGGAGCAGAGCCTTGCAAATCCTTCAGAGCTCGCAGTTTGGTACAGATTGCTTCAGATGCTGTACAAGGAACTACAGGATGGTCTGTCCCGCTGGATTTGGGACTGGCTTTGGTCCCATTCCTTTGTGTTCTTTGGTTTTTTAACTTCACGAATGGAAATGTCTGTTTTGTGCTGTTGAATGTTGGAAGAGTTTAACTTTCTTTTCATTTTTACAGGGGCTCACAGCTAGAGTTTGCCTTAAATCTCAAAGGAGTCTTTAATTTGAATTTTTCATTAAGGGATTTTCATGGGTCTTTGGTGGTTGAAGGTGGAAACCATGTTGTGGATTCTATCTGGATGTCCCCCAAAGTCTCATGCAATCATAGAGGTGGATTAATTTAGAATTTGTGATTGAATTATAGTGCAATGCTGGATTAAGGGTGCTGTGAATGAGAGTGGGTGATTGCTGGATCAGATCCCCTCATATCAGCAGCCTCTAAACTTGGTGAACTGGATACAGTATAATGGAGACAAAGTGGCTTGTCTCCTTGCCTCACTTGTTGATTTTGATGTCTTCCATACCTCATGAACTGTTGCATCTCCAAGATTTGCCATCCTGCCCTGGAGCCAAGCACCAAAAAGGCCATAATGTTGTGAGCTAAATAAGCATTTCCCTATGCAACTTTGGGTGTTAGGTAACTCGTTTCAGCAACAAGAGAAAATCACCTAAGGCAATAGTGGGGGAAGAACCAAAAGCAAATTCCTCTGAAGAGTACGTTTAAAAACGTATCATTTATACACTCTTGTTTTTTCGCATTTTCTGACAAATGGTGATTTCATGTATAAACCAGGGTTTAAAATTGTCAGCTTTATTTCCAAACTAATTGGATTCTGTTTTATTAGGCTGAAAACATATTCTTGTGTATGTTGAAGATTTTTAATCTTCAAGTTAGAAAATATAAGTGATTCTAGATCTTAATCCATATTTCTGCTTTTACAGTCAAAAAAAATACAAGCCCAGCTAAAGGAGCTTCGTTATGGGAAGAAGGATTTATTATTTAAGGTAAGCACCTATCTCCCCTCCCTCTACAACTTACGAGCACAACACCTAAACTATCAAAAGTCTTATTTAGCTAAAATTGACTTTACCAAGATTAGAGTTGCTATTAACTGTATTTTAATGTTCATTCCATTTTGTTACCAACTTGGTAAAATGAAATACAATGACGAATTTGTAGGTGCCTTTCTTATGAAAGGCAACAATTTTCACAAAATGTTTAGTTGCTTTCTTTAGGAATTTCTAACGACATAATGTCTTTTTAAAAAAAGAACAAAAATAGTAGAAAAAAAGTAGAAACTATAGAGAATTTCACTGAACAAATGTCAAGAATTCAACAATGGTTTTTATAGTGCACATTGTCATCTTCAAATGACTTGTTCAGATTGCCAGAGATAAGCATGCAAAATTGTTCAAAATTATTAACATTTAAAAAGGAGAAAGAAAATAATTAATTTTAACTGTTCCTTTCAATAAACCAGTAGAAATTGACAATAAAATTATCCTAGCTATCTTGTGTGTGTCTATATATATATATTTCTTTTTCCTTTCTTTTCTCTTTTCTGCTTTACCCCACTCCAGGTGCTTTGAACTATTTCTTTCTCTCTTACAGTGTCTACTGTCAGATTTTGTCTACCACTTCAGGTTCTTACAGTAGGAAGGCAATAAGATGTTTACACATATGGGTCTGATTTTTTAATTTTATGAGTATGGTCTCTAGTTGCATCCTTTTATCTAAAATCATTGAGTTTATCTTTTTTATAGCTCAGGTTTTTTGAATTTTATTTTTTCCTGAAAGAGTTTTTAAAAAACAATATTGGAATATAACTTAAACTGGTGATGTTAAGGAATTTATTTTTATATTATACCAGCTGAATATAGATTCATAATTTATTGACATTCAAAAATCATCTATGGAAAATTCATTGAACATCTCAATGACTTGAGAAACTTAATGCAAAGTATTTGTAAGTTTTGTTATTTCACATTGGTTTAAGAGCAGCACATGCAGGGCTGGTGAGATGGCTCAGTGGTCTAAAG